AAGGAAAGAAGGGAAAAATTGAGAGGAGGATATTCATGTGGATCTAGTTCCAATTGGCCATGGATGCTTTGGTGCCACTAGAATGAGATTTACCTCCTCCTTATATACAAAATAAACATGGTGGAATTTCTTCTCTCATGTAATTTTTAAAAATGTGTCTGCAGATAATGAGAAGCTCTAGATATTTTCTCAAAAAGTTTGTCATTTAAAAGTCTATCAATATGATTTTTTCTTTGGGTGTTCCCCTGACCAAGGATGCTGTGTCATAGTAAATCCTCAGGTCAGAAGAAGGCCTGTGTGTAGTAATGATGACTCTCATGGAAAGGAATACACAATGCCCAAAGGCTCATGAAATATAATGTGCTCCTTCTGAAAGGACGTCCTGTCCTACTGGGATCCTAGAGCTTATTCAAAGACACAATCACACAACCAATGTGCTCTCTGGAGAATTCCCCATGAGAATAACTGCAGATTCTATCTCTCTTAGGGAAGAAGGGATTAAACTGCCTAGAGGGACAAAATAGTCATTATATTTTAAAAGTGAAATGTATTATAACTGACAAATAAAAATGTAAAATAGACATTTACACCTGCAAGAACTACTAGGAGATGTATAACTCCTCTAAAGTTTGAATCAGTTTAGAAAAGTCTGCTTCCTAAAATATTTTTCATTTCTTTACAGTAAAGTCTTTCAAAAACCTGTCATGTTATATTGAAAGTACACAATATATGATACTTGTCTATATACAATGCTTAAAAATGCAGTAGACAGGGCCTCAGCCTTTCTACTCTATAATGGGCCACGCTGCAAACTATGAACTAACTGACTGATCATTTTTCTAAGGTGGGTTGGACATTGATTTTTCTCCTGTGAACCAAGCCTATGTTTGATGTAGATTCACAAATTCCACAGATGTGCACTCCTCAAACACATAGATACCCCAGCTCCAGACTGCACCTTCCATCTCTCTGGAAGGCCCACATTTTCTATTCTTTGAGTGTGTACTTACATTCTGAACATCCAACCTCTTCATGCCTCTCCCAAAGTGGTATCTATAGTTCTCCTACTGTGCACAGGTTTCCAGAGCTTCCTGCTCCTAAAAATAACTTAGCAATAATTGCTCAATGTGTCTTCCATCCCTCCTATCCTGTAATCTCTTGTCTCTGGTAACCACTTTTCAACTCCCTTCTTTTATGACATCAACATCATAGATTCCCCAAATGAGTGAGAGTTTTCCGTACTTGCCAGCTTATTTATTTAACATAATCTAGAATAGTTAGTTCAATTCATTTCCTTTACACAATGACTTTCAATTACATCCATGTCATTCTAGTAATGGGATTTCATTCTTTTTATGGCTCAAGGTTGTTCT